GTATTTTAACTATTGAGGAAAGGGCTATTACCGTATTTACGCNCAAGTTTATATAATGCTACCGCATTCCAGGTTGCGTTATTCAGACAGACCAATTATCAATAACGCAATGCATAATTGTATGGTAAACTTGTTCCTGAGCTCAATTATTAAGCATCACGGCATAAAGACGTATGGGAGAGTGGAGGTATAGCTCCAGCATTCTTGACCTAGACACTAGATGGAGGTGAGTGGTCAGGTTCACGTCCCGGGCGTTTTACCCCCGGGAAAGGAGCTCCTAATACACATTGTATTATGAGGCTGGTTAGGCATCAGAACCGGTCTGGAGGCAGTGGAGGAGATAAGTATTTCTTACACCTGCCGGGAATCGAACCACGGCCGTCCAGCCCGTAACCCCTAGCTATACTGACTTGAGCCATCGCGGCGTTAAATACAAATATATGCCAGCAGCACTTACAAACAAGTACCATGTTCCTGTGACTTCAAATAATCTTAAGGGCGAATCAGCTGAGGAGGAATGTAAAGCGACAAAGACATTTTTACAAATTATATTTTCCTCAAATATTATGTTTTTGGACATTATTCATCGTCTTGTCTTAATCTAAAAACCTCCCTGTTTCATTTTCAGAACTCAACATTTCGGAGCCTGGATTCTTTCTCCGTCTTCAGGTAAAATCTACTCAGTTGGGCCCAATCGATAGAGCTAGTCCCTATCTCCGGACAACTGTGCCCGTTCCAAAATGGGGTACATAAATCAAACACAGCACAAACCATCTGCGAGAGCTAAGAAAATATTAAATAATTAAAACTCTAGACGTATGAGGCCTTGCACCAGAGAAGTATCTCGATTGAAGTGATCATTAGCAAGAAGCAATACTCCTTATGGGCCGCGCCATAGCTCAAGCGATTAGTCGCTGGCTTTCCATCGCGGCGGCCCGGGTTCGATCCCGGGTCTGGTCAAGTGGGATTAATGGTGGATAAAGTGGCGCTGAGGCAGGTTTTCTCCGAGTACTTCGGTTTCTCTTGCCAATCTTCATTCCACCAATTGCTCCACAATCACCCTCACCTTTCATCTGGGGCCATTACAATAGGCCAGAAGTGGCTGCAGTACCAGGGACTTAGTCCCACCATACTAGTAGTAAAAGAATACTTCTTATGATACCAACATAAGAAAATAAATTTTCCCACTCAGACTACACTTGATGGATTTGTACTTTCGTGATTTCTGCTGTGAGAACGTAGGTACAGATGGGAGAGATGTCCACACTGGGTTGACAGATCGGATGGTCGGCTGGGACAGTGCCTTGTATTGGGTCACTTAGTTCACTTCCTCCTGCATCCTTCTCAGTTAACTGCAAGCCTACTGTTCAATGTCATTCAACGCTATACCTTCTGATTCACCGGGAGCGTCGTTAAATAACTGCAAACAAGACAGAATCATCAATGAAAGTTCGGACGTTTAAATCATGGAATCATCGTCCACATTAATCTCCAAATTTGCTTCTGACTGGCTGTGAACTCAGTTCAGTTAAATGGCCTATCTTGTTTTTACTACATAAGTACTGCACCTTCGTTTGTTTGTGTTAATTTTAATGGCGTTAATTAATAATGAATTGGGAAGTATTTGCTCAAGGCCTAATTTGAGGCAGCAGTTGTGTGGAGGGACCGAGAGAAGTTATTATAAACATCATATTTGAACGATATACAGAGTGGTCTAATGGGGCTAACGTAAAGGCACAAATGCAACGGGATCATTGGCATACGGTGGAATTTTAGGAAATCCGTAAAATGCATATTAGACCATCGATACAAAGGTGCGAAATAATGGGAAAAATAAAGATGCCGTACACTTTTCTTTATTAATATGGCATTGGACCACGTTTTGCAAACATTAAAGCCGCCATTCAGCCGGTCACGGTTGCCGAGCGGTCTAAGGCATTTACTGTCTTCGCTCGTTTGGAAACTGGAATCGTGGGTTCGAATCCCACTCAGGGCATGGATGTTTAGTTTGTGTGTGTGCGTTTTTCTGGGTTTGTGTATGGGTAGAGGCCTTGCGACGAGCTGATCACCCGCACAAGGAGTCCTACCGAATGTGTAAGATCTAGAAAAACCTAAGTGAACGGAGTTCATGGAGGTAGGCCTAGGCCCACTGGGGCTGTAGTGCCAAGGAAAAAAAACCGTCATTCTCTACCGGAATTTTATACCATTATTCTTGATGAACATATTCAAGTTGCTTTAGAGGTGACGGAGGTGGGAATCTATTCCTCGCCCTAGTTTCCGAAACTGACCATAGGGATTCAATGGTGTTAAAATCTGGTGATTGTGCTGGCCAGGGAACATGTTGAAATTAACCTTCATACTCTTCAAACCATGACTGAACAGGTCCAGCTGTGTGAATGTGGGAATTGTCGTCTTGGAAAAATGCATTTTTATTCGGAAATAGCTTCTGGATCATTAGATGCACCTGATTACACAACCTCTTCATATACTCCCTTGCAGTAATTCTGTCATGAAGGGGCACACGGTAGCGTAGTTGGTTGAGGCACTATGCTACAAGCTGGAAGGTCGCGGGTTCAAGTTCCGATGAGGTCATTTAATTTTTTTTTGCTTGACCTAATCCTTCCGGCCGCACTATGACCCTGGGGTCGTTCAGCCTCTAACAGAAATAAGTACCAGGAATTAATTAAATAATTTTCCTGGGGAGTAAAGCGTGGCCGGCGCATAAGGCTGACGAGCTTACCGCCATCTTTGAGCCGATTGTCTAGATAATGTGGGACCCTCAACGTCTCACAACCCTATGGGCCTTCATGGTCTGGTACAGGGATAACTTTACTTTTTTTACTGTCGAAACAGATTATCGCATTGCGTGTACGTGCTGCTGGGTACGGCAGAGTGCCAGAAGATGCAGTTACTGAAGGGCGACAGTAAATAGACATTTCCAATATAATTCCGAAGGTGTGTTATGAGGGCCAGCCTCACAATTATCATTAAAATGTCTACATGATTTTGCCTTGTATATAAAACACTCCCATAAGTCAGAAATTTTGCCTGTAAATACACATAAGACATTACATCAATAAGATAACACAGACAACATCTACTTGCTTCTAACATTGACTGCAGTGTATCATTACTTCTAAATGCGACAATAATTTAAATTTGTGTTTAACTGAAATGACCTGGATACTTTAATGTTCTTTTGTGTAAATTATATTGGTTCGCATTCGCTTCTCTACGCCTTAGGATCGAAACATGTTGGGCTGCAGGGTTATTTAGACATTACGAACTTGAAACACTACACGCAGTTCCACACATACGTGTATACATATTGTACCGACAGAAAGACTTCTACGAAATTGTGGTTAATGGTTACGTTCTTTACAAAATATTTTTTCTAAAGGGTTCTTTAGCGAGGACAGTGAAAAGTTCTCTACTTTCCATAACTGTAAAACCATGTCACGTGGTATAGCGACGTGTAACAAACAAATATATACGTTTTATGTGGAACAGTAAAAGTAACAAAGTAAAGCTATCCATGTAACAAGCCATGAAGGCGCATAGGCTTGTGAGACGTTGAGAATCCCACATTTTCTAGATGATCGGCTTAAAGATGGCGGTAAGGTTGTCAGCCTTACGCGCCGACCGCGCTTTACTCCCCAAGAAAATTATTGAATTAATTCCTGGTACTCATTTCTGTTAGAGGCTGAGTCGATCCCAGGGCCATAGTGCTGCCGGAAGGATTAGGTCAAGTTGAAAAAAATCCAATGACCTCATCGGGACTTGAACCCACGACCGTATTGTGCTTTAGGATGGTTTAAACTTGAAAAAAAAAATCGTAATATTTTCCGATTTTCTAATGTTCCAAGGAACCCACCATTGTTAGGCGCCGCAGGACGGCACTGGAGACAATCAGACTCGAGCGACTGGCAGCAGCCAAAAGGATATGCCCTTTTAGCAGAAGCCTTGCGTTTCAGTTCTCGAGATGAACAAGTTGTTCACATGTTCACAGTCCGCCCCTCGCCTCGCCTCGCCTCATGTACCGTGTACGAATGGCGGATTCATTCTGTAACACTCACAGTCTCTAACTGGTATGCGAACTTCTGCTGCTCAGGGACGGAGGAGCCCCAGGAAAAATAGGTCCCGAGAGATGCAACACACAGGCTCGCGGGTGCGCGTGTGTCATTTCTTTCCCTTACGAAAGAATGGGAGAAACCGAGTTATGACAGGCAACTGCGCGATTTCATTCCATTTCGACTTTATTTACTTTCATTAGTATCATCTTTCTTCTACAGTATAGCTGTAATAATGCTNATATATATGGGACAGCCGAGTCGGTAGAGAGATGGGCTACAGGCTGAACGGCCCGGTTTGATTTCCGGAATGGCAACATTTCTTTCTTTTCCACAACGTCAAGACAGGCCCTGAGTTCAAACTAGCCACATATCCAAGGGATACAATGAGCGATTTCCCCCAGGGGTAAATTGGCCGGGAGTGAAGCTGATCATTCACCTCCATCTAGTTTCAAGGTCAACAATGCTGGAGCTATACCTCCACATATTTCTTCGCGGCATAATGCTTAATTAATTAATCGCAGGAACAAATTTACATTTAGATTCTGAAGGGTTCTCTCGATGATATATATAACACTCAGTGTTATTGGGTTTTTGGACTTCATCAATCGCCCGCTATTCTATAAACTAAAGAACATCATGTTTCGGAAACTGATCAGTTTCCGTTATCAGGTGAAGGGAGCAGACAACTGCTGGGTCTTCTAGAAAGAGATAACACCTAGTGATTGAGGTTAGCTCTTTCTGAGGTGCTCAATAGAGTGTTTACCCTACTCACCTGAGGAAGGAAACGGGTCCAGTTTCTGAAACGTTGTGATCCCTAGCATTATAGAGGACCTGCCGATGGACGAAGTCCAAACATCCGGTAATTCCGAACTTCACCTTTACATATACATTAGTGTAATATTTGCGATCCACCTTTTTTGTTTGCAGCAATGATGATGGGCGATGCTGACACGTGACACAAGCGACTTACTGGAGACCACTCAGCGGCCTTAAAGTCGAAAGAGGACTTGACGGTGCCGACGCGGAGAAAGATGAAAACGTGGGGAGTTTCATGAACAAAGGACAGGACTCGGGGCAAGCAGGAGGAGCCCGCCTATTCTGAAACCACGAAGATCGAAAACTCCTCCATATGCAGCACAACAGTGGTGCCATCTGCAAGGGATGGATGAACCTACAGCACCGGTGGAGAGCAGGTAAGTCATTGCACTCTGCACTGTGGTAGCCTATGTGGATGGAGGCTTATAGAGAAATGAACTGATTACAAGGGAATACACATGCAACAATAGAAGACTGGTTTTCTACGCTCTCAATGCCGTATATACGTAGAAATGTAGGCAATTAATTCTTCACAGAACTTCTTGTTTGTACTCATACTTGTCATCCGTGCTAGTGCCTAATTTCACTTGGCTCCCCCAGCTGCTCATTTATTATTATTGTTATGAATATAAGAGCTGAGGATAATATTGGTACACCCATCGGGTTATCCAAATGCGTTCTAGAGAGATAGTACCTCAGCGAAGGGTGTATATATTCTGAAGATCATCATCATTATCATCATCATCATCATCATCATCATCATAACAGACCTTTCGGGTCAGAGCCCTCCTCAGAGGACTCTGCCAGACTTGTCTCTTCCGTCGTTAATTAGACCAGCCGATATTCCCTTCCCTGTATTTCCAAACACTGATGTTTTCACAGAACAAGGTGGTCATCTTTGCATCCAAACACCAACTTGAAGGATTAGGTCCTAATATATATGTCTCCCAGTGTAAGAGTGGCCCAGTTACACCCCCAGGAACTAGGTTCCCTTTTCGTCGCCTTCTGTGACTCGCAGGGCTACGGTGCAAGCATTCTAACCCGCCTCCACACAGGATATTTAGAAGATCACTGTACATTATTTCAGCATCCTAAATTATGCGGCGCTATCATAAACCCCACCACAAATATTCGCGCTTTCACCATGCTGTTCTTTTATTGCTAGTGAGTTGGGACTCAGTCCCTTGTACTGCGGCCACTTCTGCCCTATTGTACCAATCCAAGATGATAGGTAAGGGTGATTGTGGAGTAATTGGTGGAATGGAGATTGGCAGGAGAAACCGAAGTACTAGGAGAAAACCTGCCCCAGCGCCACTTTGTCCACCACAAATCCCATTTGACCAGACCCGGAATCGAACCCGGGCCGCCGCGGTGGGAAGCTAGCGACTAACAGCTTGAGCTACGGCGCGGCCTACAGCATGCTGTTAATACAGATCATTGCACAGAACAGTAGCTGAATTCAAGTGATGGCAGACGCAGGTACGTAGGTTCGGATAACATGAATTGAGAAATGTATTGCATAAAGAACTCATATAATGTAATAATAAACGCCACATTTTGTGGCAGTAGCTATGGAAACGGAATCTGAGGAGCCAGCGCTGTACTACTGCAAAGGGAACGTCTGATTTCTGTTGTAACTCTGAGACTTTTTGTCAATGTGAGCCGCATTCTTCCTAGTCACCGCCGTGGAAACTTCAAATCTTACATGATGTGAGAAATAGTTTTCTGTTAGCGTTCCTGTCTCAGTATCTGGTTCAGTATAATGTTCAGTGGGACAAGAAACATTGAGAGGTAGATGGAGACCTGCGGAAAGGAGGATACAAGGCTGAGAAATCTGCTTGGGAATGTGCCCAAAGAAAATAGTCTTAATCTGTCTAAAGACATTTCATTTAACAGCCATATACACGGATGTAATTCGGACTGAGATTGATAAATGGAGGTATGAAATTGGGAATTGACACTGGAAGTTTATTTAAGTACTTAATTGAAAGTGCAATTTATAATTTGTTCACAACTTCTGCTGTTTGTTGCAGAATGATTGGTTTATTCTACAATTATTCATGTATGTTCTTTTAAATATCGCACGCACGCGTTAGCGTAGTTGAGTGAGGCACTATGCTACAAGTCAGCACTCACATTTTACACGATACACTGAAACAAAAGACTACTCTCACGTTCGTGGCTTATACACAACTTACCACCATGCATTATGCAAACGTTAGAGAGTTTGTTGCTATGGAAACCCGAAATTGCATGAAGGCTGCGGCATACTTAACGTTTACGAAAACAGTGTGTAGGCGCACACTTGGAAGGATATTTCTGCCTCAGGTTTACTTCCTCTATTCGTAAATTCCTATTTCCCTTTCCCCACCCTGGTTCTATCTCCCTTTTTCCTTCCAATCTCTTTTATTCGTTATTTCACATTTCCTTTTTCCCTGTTCCTCTGAATACGCAATGCAGCCGGTTTCTGCCAATATTCAAAAGCAGACGAGGGAAAGCTCTTTGATTCTTCCCTCCCACCCCCCACACCAAACGCTGTTCCCCCAGCTGTGATAGTCCCGACAGAAGGCTTTCAGCGTATTTCCATCTCAAGCAGATTACTTGGCGCTGCACTCAATACACGCTTACGGTCTAAATTTTAAAAATATCATGTACCGTTATTACAAGAAACATGTTTGGCCGAACACTCTCTGAAGTGATGAATATCTGTCTATTTAGCTACGTGCAGCTAACTAGCTATCTGCCGGCCTGTTTGTCTGTACAACCAGGAGACTTCTCAAGCAAGTCCATACTGAGCTCAGTGCCTACGTGTCTAACTAATCAAGATGTTTTTCTCAGATTAGTTTTACAGACGAGAGATTTTGAACTCTCACTGCTGTAAATATAGAATCCGAGCGGGAAACAGGCCGTGGGGATACGGAAGCTGAGCGGAGACTGAAGTTAAGAGCAAATGAGTGACGGTCCCCCGTTTACTCTTCCCATTTACACGTGCTTCTCTTTTCAGCGCAACAGAATTTTACCTATTTTTGCAGCTTATATTGATTCGCTCTTAGATCCTGCCTTCGTTTTCCCTTCCTTATATCAGCCATCGTTGCTTCCTATGGGTCAGACCCGTTTATCTCGAAGAAGGAGACAGCAGGATCATCTGAAACGTTTGGAAATAACTGAATTTATACGGCCTTATATTTTCAGAAGACAAAAATTTCATGTTTTGAGATGTTTAACATGTTGTGTGATGCTAGAGGACATGGGGATCCACCATTTTGCTTTTTGCTTCCACCTGTCCCTTCAGAAAGCTGGAAATTTCAGGCCCTGGGTTCCTGAAAGCGTAAACATTGTAAAATTGACGTCTGTCCTTGACACAGACTATGAGGGCAGGCCACGAATGCCGCAAGCCAATTTCTTGCTTAGCTAATTCTTCCATCACAATCGCCCTTTACAAGTTGCTCCTCATTAAGTAATTGCATCCAAATCCCCTCCCCCCAGATTAGCATGTAATTACATGAGAAATGTGTAATAATAAGAAATAATAGTGAGTTGCACTAAATATCAAACCGAACTGCAGCAATTAGGGTAAGTAACTTGTTGTATTATGTAGGGCGAAGACAGTGCAAAATGATTGATGGCCAGACAGCATGATTGCCAGAGGGAATTGAGGTAACACAGAGGTAATATGACTGAGGCAGCAGAAAAATGGCATAAAACCATCTAGAAATTAGGTCAAAATGGGGGCACAGGGGAGTGGGGCAGACAGCCATGTAGCTGTCGGTCGCTAGGTTGTGATATTGCTTATAGACTACGTGACGAAATATTCCCGCTCTTTATGTTTGCATTCCGCTTCTGCCTGTCATGAACGGGAAATAGAGGCTTCTGCAGGAAGATAATTATTGTTTAATATTAATAGATGTTTATGTAAATTAGGATTTATATATTAAAGCTTAATTAATGATTGTAAAAGAAGACCCTTCTGTACTCTTCGCTTGTTTTCGGGAAACCTTAATTATTGAACATACGAAGTTATACCCATTGCATTCTTTTGTTTAAATATATAGATGTTGTTAATGACGCGCTGCAAAATTGAACATTTAAGTTCAGAAGGCTCAGGCCGAAAGTACGCAGAGATACATTTAAATGCCGTTTGCTAAAGGGTAATTATGTCGAAAATCCTAAGGTGCTTTGAATATAAAGTTTGTCTTTTGTTTTTATCTCAGTTCCCTTTCCAGACATGTCTCTCTGAAGCAAGCATTTAACTTGGTATGTTCAACATACACTCAATGAGGCATGTAGGTCTTCACGCGAGCTGCACAATGTGTCTCTTAAGGCGCGTCCACATTACTCATGCTCGTGCTCGTGCTCGCCAGGCTAGTGCTCGTCTGGCTTTTACTTGTGCCCGTAAATCTTCGTCCACACTACTTTAGTTGCTCGCCAGGCTTCGGCGCGTGAGGATCCGTATATTTACTCGTAGTGTGTATAGGCTGTAGTCGTATTTTGATTTACTGGCTATAGTTTTTGAATTAAAAATTTTAAATTTGTCTCGTGACTTGTCATATCGTCCACATTACTCGCGAGCACAGCGAGTCACACGAGCATGAGCACGAGTAATGTGGACGCGCCTTTACTTTTAACCGAAGTTAGAATGTGCTGACAAATTTTATTAAGAATACCCGATATCGAATTTCTCATGCGTCAGTGTAGGAAGACGAAAGGACGGACGAGGTGATTTAACTGTATGCTCTGCAGGGTTAGGCACGAAGGCACCTAAACTGGAAACAGAAAACACAACGAGAGGACAGGGTGAAGAGAGACAGAAAGCAAGAAGTGTATAGAAGAGACAGAACGAGGAGGAGAGAGGACTGGAAAGAAGATGTTGATGAGAAACAAGAAGCCTCTTGTATCTACAGCCTAATCTAGGCCCGTGTCAAGGAGAGGCGGGCTTCTTGAAGCCGCGCGTTATCATTATGCTGTCTCATGTCATGCTTTAACTTCTCCATTTTCCCTACAGATGGAGGAACAAACGTCTATCTGTTCGCGTGCTGCTCATTCAGTGCAAGGTGTTGGCACGGCTGGAGATTTGGGGCGCGCGCAGGCAGGGGGAGCAACAGGAAACGTCGTGACGTGCAAACATTTGCTCTCTGCTACTAGCGTAGATAAATCTGATTAACTGTGCTCATTACATATTTCATTCGCGCCCACATATCTTAAGGTTAATACTGAGCGAGTGCCGTGAGGAAACTGCGTTATCGGTTTTGGGTTTTCCTATTTTCTGGAAAGTTATTTTATGGTTCATTTTGCCGCAGTCTTTCATTATAGAGGGATGTATAGCGTCTAATTAGAATTGGAATTGGAATTAGAAGCTGTGGCTTGATCGAGTTATTGT